TATGTTTGAATTTGGATAAAATAAATGCCAGTATTTTGGATATGTTTTTGACTTCTTGTGCACAAAGAAATTAACACATGCATTTGTTTGTCTATGATTTCCAGTTGTAAAAGCAACTCATCTCACCTTTCTGATAATTCACATTTGAATTAGAGTTTTCCAGTAGTAGAACATCTTCAGAATTACATTCTGAAATAAGATGGCACAACTGTTTTTTTGCATCCATCTTGAATTGTTCAAAGTAGTAGTTACAAAGAGAAGACAATAATTTGTAATATTTTATAGCTATTTCAACTTTTCTAAGGCTTTATTCACTATTGCTTTTGCAAGTTTTTCTTGACATATCTGACTCATGGAAGGAAAATTTAATAAAATCTGTCATGTGGTCAGGAGAACTCATTTTTGTCTCTTTGCTACTAAGATCAAATCATGCGTTGAAATATCAGTACTTTACTGGAATACGTGGTTCCTATTCTTTTAGTTTTTCTTTTTTTAACCTATACACTGTGACATCTTACCATTTAGTAGACAATTGATTTGTATTTCTCATAATGCTTTTAACATGTTTTTCCAACCCTTCTTATTTTTTGTTGGTTATGCTTTAATTTTTGTACAATTTTCCTTGGGAAAATACCTCTTTTCTTGGTATAACACTGGTGAACAATAAGATTGTTACTTGGGTCATAAAGTGATAGCCCTTTAATGTGACTGGGCTCCAGCATTGCCTTTCTTTTTGAGTTTCTTTTCCATTTTCCATGCACAAATGATCTAGCAAACCTCAGCATGACTTGGATTCTGTGAGGCAGATGCAAAATGCCTAGGGCTAGTTCTCACTTGTACAAGGTATCTTTTCCTTAAGTGTGCTGTAGGTACTCCTGCTTTTAGCTTGCTATTTCAGGTCACACGATAGTAGAAATGTGAAACACATCATGGAGTGAAATTTAATTTAGAGAGCACAGAAATACACAGATTGAGATAGATATGTATGTATATAAAATGGTGTTTGATATTTCCATTTCTCTTGAGACTTCCTTGAAGAAAGCCTCCTGAGAGCACCACTCCTGTGTTTAGGCTGTTCTCCAGTATTTGACTTCTCCTTGCTTTCCCATGTTCAGTTAACCTATTTGTAAAAGACTCAAACATCAATGGGAAATTGGTGTATGAGGGAGTAGGGGGACAAAACTGATAAGAACTACATCTGTGTGGAACGAATATAGTAAATTGACAGTGGAAATAGTATTTATAAATAAAGATTAAAAATAATACCTGGGAAAGTTTTCTGGCTTCTGTTTTGGACGTGTCTTTCTGCATGATTTAACAATTATACTTTCTAGACTGTCTTTTTATAGCATGGTCATGTATTTTAAAGCCATGTTGTAAATTTTATGGTTTTTATCCAAATGTATTTAATTATAGTTGTAACTTGCAGAAGGATTCTGCCCTTAGGAAATAGTTTTATAGCTGCAAAGTAAAAGGGTCACGGCGTCACTTTCAGGGTGGTACCGCACAATGCGTTAGCTGGTTGAATTTCCAGAGAAGTTGCCCCATGGCACACTAAACCAAAGCAATGAGAAGCATTGGAAATGTGAGCATTAACTTTTATGGTGTTTGCTTATCTAGCAAACTTCTCAAAGGTTTTACAAATGAGGTTGCCCTTTCAGTTCAATAGCATGATGTTGGCCTGATGCTCTAGAAAACTTTGAGCTAAATGATTTTTGTCTTTTTCTATGTTTTCCCCTTTTTGGCTGACCTGAGATTGACCCACAACAAATAGGGTTTCTGCTTTGCACTACTTAGAAGAGAGATTAAATCCAATCTTGAAAGGAAGTAGAATTCATTTTTACATTATTAAAACTCAAAGGAAAAATATTCAGAGTTGTGAAGAAATTGTCCTATGCTGCTGAATTTTGTCTCACTCTATAGCGACTCTTTTTATAACAAGATAAAATTATCTTGGCTATGTGAATCTACAGCAGTCATCTTAAGTGTCTTCTGCTGTATTCTTTTAGAGGGGGAGTTTGTGTGTAGTTAATGCTTTTCAGCAGTCCATTTAAAAAAACCAGCCTCTTGAAAAAAATCACAAATTAGTGTTAGAAGCAGCTATATATTCAGATAGCAAATGTTTCTGAATTGTCAATCTTACTGTTTTTAATAAGTGTCTAATATGGATAATAATTAAAACTAGTAAATAAAGTACATATATAAAGAAATAAATGGCCAAGCAAGAAAATACTGCTCACAAATTTGAGCTGACCTTAATGGAAGAAAGTTCTTTTTTGATCTCCTGCCAAAGTCTACAAGCAGATGAACTGGCAGGCTCTAGGCTTTCTTTAAAAAGCTCCTGCACTGTCCATTTTGATTGTGTCAAATGAGAGGTTGCTACAGACAGCAAGATTTTACTGTGATTATTGTGCTTGGTGATGGGAGATTTTAGGGAAACCATTAAGAGCAAATTTGAAATTAATGTAAGATTTCAAGAGAATTTTGTGTTTACTGAATGTAGGAGGAAGGGAAAGGAGAGTTCTGTTGTCCTTCATTTTATATTTTTCTGTCATCTAGGACTACTCTATTTTACAGGGAAGATGATTGATCAGTCTTGGCAAGGGAACAGCAGAATTTTTACTTTATTAAACTATTCTGATAAGTTATCTCAATTAGTCATAGTAGTTTCATTTCTGGTTTAATTGAGTCCCTACTGAAGAGGAAATACAAATTTTGTCGTGATCCACAAAGTAGACTTCTGATAGATCCAACTTTTAATTAACAGACTTGTAAAGGGGAAGAGATTAAAGCAAACAGTCCTATAAAACTTTTTTTAACAATCAAAATGCTAAGAATGATAGTTTTGAAATCCACCACTTCAAATAAATGTAGTAGCCTGAGGAAAATTTCTGTCTAGTTGGAGCTGCTGTCCTTAGAGTAAAAGGGAAATGCCTCATATCAGTGAATGAACCTGTCATACGCTAAATATTATATGGAAGAGGAGGAATGGTATAGACATAATTGACAAAGTCAGTGCTGAAGGTGAGATGTTATGTCTGCAGAGAAAAGACACACTTTTAATGCTACATTTTACATGTAGCATGTAGTGTATAAACTGGGTATTAAAATGTTTGTTTACTTTTTTGTGTGTGTTAAATGGTAGTAGAGGGAAGAAATTCAGACTGAAAGAGATGAAGTCAAATTAATTTACCTATCTTGTTTGAAAGAGTGAGATCTGTTAAACTTTGTTAATTTCTTTGTTTTGTTTCTAGATGATGGCTGAGCTCAGAAGCTCATGAATGCTTACATGAAATATCCTACAGATACTTCTACTGATCAGTAGTAGCCCAGGTGAACTAAGCGTGTCCTAAGATGGCAGTAGATCTGCAGTATGAACCAGTCTGCAGAAGTGAGTTGATGCCACATTTGTTGGTGTCTTGGTGGCTTGATGGCTCTCAATTATTCTGTCTTTAAACCAAAGCCATCTACCAAAGCAATAAAAGGACAGTGCATAATCTGACTACAGAATGTTATTTCCAAAGAAGTGAACTGTGAAGAAAGGACTCATGAATTTTGATCACAGGGGCTTGGAGAGCGTCTCTGGTAAGTTGAAGAACTAGCTGTTAGAAATCCTGAATATATCTAATGTGATAGAACCCCAACCTGAAAGCAGCCTTAAGTTTCACATTCCTTGTATTGTTTATCTGATACTGCAAATGAAGAAAAAAAATGGTGAGTGCTCTTAACTAGCTTGTAAAATCAGCTTCCACTGTAAAATATCGTTTGTAAAATACTCAGTGTCAATAATAAACTTTGGCATTTTTTCCATTGAAAGATATTGAAGATAGTCTTCATCTTTAGTGGAAATGTTGGAAAGATAATCACTGTATACCTTTGACATGCAGTATTTTAGCAACTTAAAATTAATGGGGTTTTTTTTGTGCAATAATTGTCAAGAAATTAAGGGGAGTGGAACAACACAGGAAGAGCTAAACTTCCTTTCCAAGATGTTGAGTATCCTGTTTCCCAGAGCATGATTCCATATGGATGATAATGGAATTTTCTATTTATTTGCTGATTTAAAGGCAGTATTGAATTGATTTTTAGTTACTTTAAGATTATTTACATCTGTGTTCGTTACCGAACAAAAGGATGAACAGAAGAACAAGAAAAAGGTGAATTTCTTTCAGAAAAGGGAAGTGTAACTATGCTAAAGCCAATGAAACCTTACAAAATCAATAGCCAGTAAAATGTAGGTCTGTGTTTTAGTTCAATGAACAGGACAAGATACAAATTGAAACTCATTATGTACATCATGTTTAAGAAGTCAGAGGGAATCATGGCTAGACCAGCTGTCCAGGAAGTTATGGAGTCAGTTGGGGCATGAGGAACTTACAAATATTGCAATGTAAATCAAGTATTGATTCAATAAGTATTCTAGTAATTTGTCCACTGCAGAATAACTCTTTTCAAATCTACTGAAGGTTTATAAAGTATTTTATAGTATAAAGAATGTATACTACGGTGGCAATATTAAATATATGTCATATGTAATAGTAATGTGCTGTTATTGGCATTTACTCGCTTTCAGATGTCTGCTCCAGTGAGGACCTTCCTGAGGTAGAGTTGGTGAGCATGCTAGAAGAACAGCTGCCAGATTACAAGTTACGAGTGGACTCTCTGTATCTGTATGAAAATCAAGACTGGATTCAGTCCCCTGCCTGCCATGGCCATCTTCCTGAAATCACTTCTCCAGTTCATGATGAGGAGCCCTTCCGTTACATGAGTGAGTATATCTGGGCCTAGGATTTTTTTTGTCCATTTATTGAAGAGAAAACTGTAAATATTAAATCAATGTTATTTATATTGTAAAGCGTTCAAATCTGGAAAACTTTGGACTGGTGGAAGAAAAAGCTGAATTCAAGGGAAGCGCTTGTAGTTCAGCACTGCAATTCTGAGGGCTGACCTAGCACATCCCATGGCTGCATGATCATTAGATTTCACATCGAAATAAGAGTGGGAACATGTGGTAGTGAAAAAGAAGCAGGAACCTAGAATTGCACTAGATTAGATGTAATATGCGAGGTATGGAGTATGCAGCAGCTCTATTTTCAGGAACATTCATGATGCTGTGGTTCTTTTGATGATGTTTGCCCTGATATGTTATGTCAATGTTGCTTTTGAAATACTGTTAGTGGTTTCTTCTGGAGATGTTAGTGGTTTCTTCTGGAGATAGAAAAGGTGTGAAAGCCACATAGGTGAGTACTAGATCGGTGTTCATCACTGCCTTCCAGTTTTGAAAATACTAAGTAACTTATCCATAAACCTAGCAGATCATAAGGGAGAAAACGAACAGCTTCTCATCACATGAAAAAAACTTTAATATATTAAAAATCAAATGTATAGAAGGCTGCCAAAATAACTGAATGTTTACTTGCCTATAGTTTCAAGTGTTTTCATGTGAAAAGAGGAGAATGCATTGTAATCGCTTTAGAGAAATGGGGAAGTCCCTGTTTCCTCCATATATTAGAACTATTGGAACAAACCACTTGGGAGAGTGAACTTGGTATTTATATACAATCTGTAATGATTACTTCTTCCTTGTACGTGCCACTGATGAAAGAGGGTTTTTTTTTGTTGTTATTTGTACTTTAGGCCTCCACCCAGGGTGTATAGCAAATGAGTAAGTGAAAGTGAAATATTACCTCCTAAGAATGCAGTACTCGACAATTTGAAGCAATCTTGTTATCAGCTGAACTTGCAGGCTTGGAACTCTTTTTAACTGTGGAAAGTATTTGGGAAGCCGCTTAATGTTTATTGCTCAGTCTGTTTCTGATAGTAATGTTGCAAGCATAAATGATTTTTTAGTTGAGTGAACACTTTTGTAGTTCACTGGAAGCAGTTGTGTAGTCAGTGGGGTGTGTACTTGCCTCTAAGTTTTAATTATAAAGAGATGGGATCAGAGTCTCAGTGCTGGAAGGAACTTTACATCAGACGTGGCACTGCTGATGCTCTCTGGTCAACACCTGCAGTTCCAGTGTGATGAAGCACAGAGCTCTGAGAGAAGGACCTTCAGTCAGTGTGAGCCTGCATTTCCAAATTGCAGTGAGAGGGAGAGGTTTATTAACAATGTTTTAATGAAGGCCGTCATTTATTATTTGGTTGTCCAGGTATTACAGAAAGTGATGTCTTCCTCTTTCACCCTGTGAGAAGTTCTTGTTAACTATAGAAAATGTGCTGTGAAAATAGTAAACTACTTGTGAGAGTTTTTTGAACAGTTGCCATAGATGTTTTCTTGATATTCTCAAAAATGAGCTGTAACAATGACTGACATTAAAAGATAACTGTTAGACATAACATATAAAACTAATTCTATCATTTAAGAACACTGTTGGAACTACTGAGTCATATAAACGCAAGATAAATACGGATTATGTTTCTTCTAGAAATTGTCCAAAGAGATTGAATGTAGTAGTCATCATATTAGCTTTTTTGAGTAAATTTCAGGGAGATACTGGGAAGGACCCAGGCAAATACAGATACAAATCAAGATCTAGTTGTAATCATTGCTGAATAGCTTGTTAGGTGAAATTTGTATCTTTTCTTTCTGTTGATTGGAATTGGAATAAATGTGACAATCATACTCTTGAAGTGTAACCTGAGGTTTTTATGTTTATATCTCCCCCTCCCTATGTAAGTATGGAAACATACAACTTTCCTAAAGAGAATGCTAAACTCATGGTTTGAGTGAGGTGACATCCAAGGGAAAAAACAAAACAGTTATTGCACTTGAGCTCCTCCTCTTTTTATGGCTCCTGCTGCCTATTAGAAGGTTTTTCCAATGACCAGTTGAGTTCCCACTGGCAGTGTTTTTAGTGAGGTTGAAGAATAGCTTCTGCTTCAACTGTGGTACCATAAGAAGCCCCGAGTTACGTCTGCCTTGAGAACTACTTTGTATGTGTGAATAAAGGGACATGGCACAACATAACAAGAATATTAACCAAAATGAAGAGCTGCTTGCAGCTTTCACTTGGCAAGGTGAGTGAGGAGAGATTACCCATGGGTGTGTTCACAAGAGAGAGTTATTAAAAACTATGTTTAATTTTGATCCTGTACTGTGAGAAAATAACAAAAGTTGTATAGAGCTAAGTTTCAAAGCTGTTAGTTCTGTGATTTCATTTATCAAAGTAAATATACTCACTTTTGATTTTAGGAACCTACCTACCTGAGTAACCTTGTATGTAATTAGTGTAAATCTTTATTAAGGTGACTTAGCGCTGGATAGAAACTTTTAACTTGAAATCACCTGGTGGGAACAGTTACCACAGGAGAACTGGCTATAATATTCTGCCTCTAATGGCTGAAAGTTATTTATGTATGTGCAGTGAATTTTCCAAATACTAGTAAGCCAGATGAGTTTGTAGTCCCCTCTTGGCAACCAATATCAGTAACCAAGTGGTACAGTAAAAATGACCTCCCACGGTCAGTTATCCTACTGATAGAGATGTACTTTAAATTTTGTGAAGAGTTTCTATTTTTGCCTTGCTTAGAAATACAATCAGTAAATGACGCTTCTGTAAGTTCAAAGCTCCTAAATACTTGGACAGCATGTGTTGGGTTTTATACCTACTGATCTACTTGATAATAACCATTTGATTTGTTAGTTTGATTTATTTTTCTGTTAAGCTCTAAGAGAAACAGTTCAATAAACCCTTTTCTACTCTATTGTTCTCTCCGTTCTTCTCTCTTTCAAGACTGCAAGAAAGTTTCTTTCTATACTAAACTGCAACTTGTTTTTGTTCCTGGCATAGCCTTAGTGTTATGTTTTAAAAGGTTAATTATGGATATTATGTATGTAAAGGACATACATAGCTTATATAACATATGTAAATAAAGTTAGTGTGCACTTCAGTTTGCCACTTTGTTGTCTCATAACTAAGTGTGCCATCCTGAACAAGAACAAACAAAAAACCTGAGACCCAACACTGCTATGTATTCAGAGTATGAATCAGATTTAAACAAGGTAGAAGAGTCAAGGAAATCTTCAGAAGTAGATTAGACCAAATCCATAGTAATCTCATTTTGCAGTGCAGTGATGATGGAATTACTATCAAAACAGGTTAACTTAGACCTTCAGTTGAAGCAGATACTTCTATATTTGTTAATTTACATTGCTGCCTTCTTTACTTTCATGATCCTGATCCATAAAGCAAAAATAGCAAATTTCTGTTGGACAAATATCCATCTCCTGCAAGTGAGATGCCTAATTCTGCTCCTGAAGGGAATTGTATTTAAATAGTTCTTTAAAAGCACTAAGAGAGTTTTAATAGTGTAAAAAGTGTGTTTATACATGCATTTATGTTTTGGTGGTGGTGGATGCATGCAAATAAATCACCTATTTCCTTGCATTTTAATTCTGTCTCCTCTTTGTTCTTTCCTGCCCCCCTATCATTTATTTTCTGTCACTCTAGCTCTTATTGAACTTCCTTCCTCCTCCTTGGCTGGATCTCACAAATTTGCTCAAGGTAATTGAGACTTCTTCTTTACTAGCATCTTCTATTTCTCAGGATGAGACCTAGAGCAGACCAGTGCTTTCTGTTTTAGCACTGTGTTTTGTTCAGCGTTCAGATTTGTCACAAATTCTTCATGCTTTGTTTCTTCTTGACTCAGTCCTGTTTTTCAAATCCTACTTGTTCTCAGTTTTTTAATAGTTTTGCAAACTCTTCAAAATTCAAAGTCACTCAATCAGTAAGATAGGATGTACTGCTGGTTCTAAATTGCAGACATATATCATCCTATTTCTTTTTAACTGAAATTAATTCTTTCTAAGATGATCAAGCACTTAGATATGTTTTCATGTCTAGTCTCTGGGGACTCCGTACTTCCTGTGTATAGCTGTCTCACACACTAATGGGAATTTTGCTTCAAGGGTAAAGTCTGCAGGTGTGTTCAGCTATATTTGGATATGCTCCAATATACTCTTTCCTCTCTCCCCAGCAGGCTGGATGATTTAATAGCTTAGCTGTATTTAAATGATCTCAAGAGATTTTTCTCCATTTTCTAAATCTGAAGGATGAGTGAGCACCTCAAGTTTTAGCCAATATTGATGAAAACTGTAAATGTCCAATAACTCATTGTATCAGTCTCCCAAATGAGTTGTTTAATATTTCTGAAGATGTCTTTTTATAGCTTCCACTAGTTTTATCAACTGGAACTGTATTTGTATATAAACAACACCCTCTGAGTTTTAGGTCACTCCCTTCCCAGCAGTCATCTTGTACTTAAGCTTCTTCAGTAAGTATGTTTCTCTCTTCTCAGTTATTGGCACAGATAATGTGGAGCAGAAAACCTACAGTGATGCTGACATGGTCAAACATCTGTTAGCTGAGGTATGCTTGTCTCTGTAATGCAATGTTAATATATTTGAGGACATGTATTTGAGGAAGGGTTTTATTCAGCTACTGAAAATTTTGGTTCAGTTATCTTGAAGAGCTGCTTATCAAACAGTTAATAAACAGGTAATAAGCTGCCCATTGGGTTGCACTCAGAAACAAAATTTAGCAAAACTTTGGGCACCCATGGACCCAGTGAGGTGCAAGAAAGAAACAGCTTTCTTCTGCTTTCCTGTTGCTCCTTTGCTTCTACCATCTCTTCACTATTCGAATTAAGTAGTCTGTTCTGGAGAAAGTGTCACTTGAAAGACCACAGGCCTAAGTATTGCGGCTTCTTTGTATGATTCAACGGATCCCATACAACACTCCACTACTCAGCACAAAACCCAGAAACTGTCCTCAGGTTTTGTGCTTTCCCCTCCCCCTGTTACTGGAAATGACTGTGGCAGAGAATGTGCTATATCAAGAAACACAGTTATGGATGTGTTCTGCATCCAAATGATGAAGCATTAATCATTGTTCTAACAGTGTTGATCCATTTGAGAGGGATCTCAGAGTGGTGATGCATTAGTAGTAGCTAGGAAAATCTAAAACTACTCTGAATTTAAACCTTATCTGATCAAAAGTAGACATTTATTCTTATTTTGTGAGCAGAAAGATCGGGACCTGGAACTGGCAGCTCGAATTGGACAAGCCCTCCTTAAGCGAAACCATCTGTTGATGGAACAGAATGAAGCACTAGAAGAACAGTTAGGACAAACTCTAGATCGAGTGAGTCATCTTCTTTTTTTTTTTTTCCTTCTTTTTTCTTTTTATGATGATGGTAAGAGGATTAATAGAAATAAGTTAATTTCATTGTGAAAGCAGGTGATTGCTGCTCTCAAACTACAGAAGTATACTCAGATATCATTCTCCTAATTGTTCAATCAGCTTTCTCAGTCCAAGAATTGACTATGAAGACTGCATGTTGTAATTATTGAGAAATTATGAGAATATTAGGTATTATTGTGATATATCTCTAGCAGGATTGCATTTTCAAAGTGTTTTTAACAATCAGTCTGATATCCCGCCGTTAAACTAAGAATCTAATAATCTAAGTCAAAACAAGTAGTTGTTATCTGACATGACCTGCTACATAACAACTTCACAAGTGAGGAAACAGCCAGAAAATGAGCTGGCTTAATGATGTGCTTACACTAAGAAGAAATAATTGAATGGATGAATAAATAAATGTAATGTAATAAAATGTAATGAAAAATGAATTCTGCTCAAGATCTTAATCTCTTTCTTTAAGCACAGATTATTGATCTAATCTTTTGTTTTTCTTTCTTAAAAAGAATTAAATAGATGACAAACGATAAAGTATCCCAGGTTTTTAACCCTGGGGTCAACAGATGTAGTCTAAGTTACAGTGAAATGGATTCAGCTGCTTGTATAAAACAGTATGCTGGTAATAAAAATGTACTCACAATTAGCTGTGGGACAGCATAAATGTATGTATTCATATAAAAATTTAGATACGCAAAATAGAATTTATCTAAGTGAGATCTGTCTCTCTTCTTGTTTTTATTTGTCCTACAGTTCACTTAATGTATAGGCTGAGGGTACCAGTCTATACATATAAATAGATGTCTATCAGTCCTTTTTGCCAGGAAGTTACAGTTCAGAAAAATGGTCATAATCAAAATGACAGTTAGTGTGTTAAAATGTAAACATGTATCAAAGCAGCTGAAAAATTATTTTGAAGTAAACTATTAAAAAAGTAGGTTCTGTTGTCCATTCTTGTGTTTTCTTGACTTTTCAGTCTCCCTTACAGTGTTAAAATAATGATTTCGTGAACTTCCTATAAAATAAATAAAGGTTTAATCTCCTGTGCAAATATAAATAAATGGATCAAGATGTGTGAGCTATTTTTTAATCTCATTTTAGACTGGAGCAATGATATTCCAAGAGGCTGCATAAATAATACACTGTATATATACATTGTATAGCTAAAGTATATTTCATGAGCTGGTGATCTTCTTTTGTCATAGGTTAACCAGCTGCAGCATGAACTGTCAAAGAAGGATGACCTGCTTCGGATTGTTTCGATTGCTTCTGAGGAGAGTGAAACAGATTCCAGCTGTTCCACACCACTTCGTTTCAATGAGTCTTTCAATGTATCACACGATCTGTTGCAGCTGGATGTCTTGCAAGATAAACTCAGAGAGCTGGAAGAGGAGAACCTTGCTCTCCGATCAAAGGTATATCTGACTTACAGTGTATACCATATATGCTGGATATGAAATCACAGAATGGAGTGATGAATCAGGATGGTTAAAAAAAATCCAGCATCTGGGTTTCTCTTGAAGACTACGACTATTATGTATCGCTATATACAAATCATACCTGAACACTTTCCCTCCACTCCCCATATCCTTCTGTTTCCTTCACTAGTCCTCATTATCTCCAGAGTACTCTAGTAGTCCTTCTTTAATGCCTTTATGGTATATGAAAGAATATGGGAATGTATGTAAGCACTCAGCAAAAGTACTCAGACCCATCAGGCCCTCAAGCTTGTGCGACCTGTTTTGATGTAAATCTGGCTGCAATTAGTAGTAGTATTTTGGGAATTCCATTGTGTTGCCATTACATTTTTGTCAGCCTGCATTCAATGCTAAGGGTTGATAAGTTTCTACACAAATTCTTTTAAAGACACGCTTAGTTTTGACTATGTGATTAGTCTCTGTATTTTAGTTGGTCTCTCGTGTATAAAACATGAATACAGGCACTGTGCCTTTACAAGGATAAATGGCTAGACAAAATAATGGCTATAAAAGTCATGGAACCAACAGCAGTTGGAGTCTACAGATGCGGTGTCTCTTCTTTGGAGGTGGAGGGTGGAACTTGTAAAATAGGAGATTGGTTAGAAGTGAGTTCTTTTGTTGTTTTTAAGAAAAGGGGAGTGTTGCTTGTAAGAAAGGTGTGTGGGAGTTATTTTGTATGTGGTTTTTGTTTTGTTTCTTATGTGAGTCTTTCCCAATATAAGCTTGTTACAGCAGTAGAACAGAAACTAGATTCCTTTAATGTGAACAAAATATACTCTTCCCCTTGTTTTGTCTTCAAAATATTTAGCCCGAGATGCACATCCTTCCTAAGACTCCCTAATACCAAATGGTTAGTTTAGTAGTGCTGTAGGAGAAAAAAAGAGAAGATCAGACTGCTTGTATTATGCTCCTAATTTATGCTCCTAACGTTGTATATGATTACAGAACTTTACAGACCAGGGATTTAAATTAATCTACTTCAGTGTGAAAAAATGGAGTTGAAAATAGACTGCTGTCATTCTGTGATACAACATAACCTTCACTGACTTGAAATAGCCTCACTCATATTGAGCCTATATTTGGTTTTTTTAAAATATTTTCATGTGACAGCATTATGTAAAGAAGTGTGTTTGCTTGCACTCATGTAGCTGTACTTCTACTTGTTTGGGTAATCTTTAAACCCATTTACTAAGTTTTATGCTGAGTCACTTACTGGCAAACAGTTCTGAATATAGAAGACTTATCTGTGCAAAGTTTAATATTATCATGCTCACAATTGAAATGAAAGTGGGAATCCAGCATGCTCAGTGTTGTTTAGACCTGTTGTAATACTTGGTTTCTGGTCCAGAAAATTTACAGTCTAAACAGACTAGTTGGGGAATATGGAGAAAAGCTGTTCTACTGAGAGCTTTTCAGTGCCGTAAAACATTTGGCTAACATAATTCAGTTTTCAAGATTTCTTTGCCGTAAGCAGTTTTGAAGCAAATTCAGTTGCTTACATCTGATTACTGTGTTGGTTTTCTTT